ACAAATATTTGATTCAATTTGATTTGATTTGATCAAATTCAAATCAATTCAAATTGATTCGATCAAATATTTGAGTTTAATTCGATTCAATTCGATTCAATTTGAAAAAATCAAATCAAATTCAAATTACTTAAATATTTGATTCAATTCAATTTTGAGGAACCCTACTTGTCAGCTCACCACATTCTTTGCAAAAACCTGCCTAGAATTTTGGTGGACTTTACATCCCTTTAGATGATAGCATCTCTGATTACACACTTTTCCAGTTTTAAGAATATATAGACAATTATATAATATAAGGGTATCACCTTTTTTTTCGCCTCCCATTTGTATGTATCAATTAATAATGTCAAGGAATTAATTTTATTTTAAACTTTTTTCTTACGAATAATATACCTTGAGTTTTAGTATAGCTATAAATTATTTTAAATATCTTGAGAAAAAATGATACAAACTGAACTTTCAGACTTCCTTGACGTCTCCGCTCCATACAAATAAGGTTTTAAAGCTGAAGATATTGGTGAATGCTTATATAAAATTCGTGATAATAGTGTTAGACTAAGACATTTTCTTGATGCAAACAATGCAGATGAAATAGAAGCCATACTCTCAAATTGCAAAGGTTATTCCTTACACAAAATTATTTATGGAGATGAGCTATTCTGACCTATTATAGATTTTGATTATCACGAAAGTTGCATGATGATATTGAACATAAGCTTACATATAAAGAAGTGATAGATAACTCAATTGTATCTTTAGAGATGTTTGTCTTGAAATATTCCTAAAGTGGAAAAAATAGTATTATTATTACCAGTAGTACTGATGCGAAAAAAATATCCTCCACATTTCTACTACTGGTATGAGGCTTAAGAATATTGCTTAGGTTGCAATATTCACTGAACTTGTCCATAAGAAAATTTCAGCGTTTCTTCAGAAAAATAATATTATAGATAATATTACGAATAAATGTTCATTGTCCTTTCGAATGCTTAGTTCACATAAGTATGATGAAAAAACAAAGGAGCACATTCGTGTAAAAAAAGCAATATACTCTAAAGATAGAACTATTTTTGATTTTATGAAAATAATGAATCAGAAATCGCAAAAAGTCCTCTCTTAATTATTTCAGAGCCAGAAATAAGAAGATGTTCTAGCATAAATAATATCACCACTGATTCTAAATTTGAACTGGTAAAAGGATTGCTTCAAGAAGCTAGCATCAAAGAATATAGTCTCTCATACCCATCTGAAAACTTTTCTGACAAATTTCCATTATCACACATCTCTCTATCACACTGTCTAATATATGACTGAGAACATGATAATGATAATCTATATATTATTTGAAATAAAAAATCCTACAGCTTTTTCTGCTACTGTGTAAACCAAGATATGCAATCTGAAACAAGAAAGTCTTTGAAAAAACTTACTATTAGCGAAACTGCCTTGAATTGAGAATAAAAGCTTTCAAGTTTTATAAAACTAGAACAATCCAGAATTTCAAATCCCAACGATTACTTTGTATAGGATAATTTAATTGATATATGTACTTCAGATAAGAAATTCTCCTGCATTGAAGTTTACGAAGCAATTCAGGCAACAGTTGCCTGTATTTAAATAACATCAAGATTATGGATGCTCAAAATAGAGAATATGAATGGTGGATTTTATTTTAATATGATGCTAAAACTAGATCTTGACGACTATAAAATTAATATACTTGAGTATAGGGGTGAATCAATAAAGTTAAAATCGTTAATATATCAAGTAGTTACCAAAGGTCTAATCTTTTACCGTAATATTAATTTTCTTCTATATCCATTAAATGCTTCAGCTTATAATACAAAATTCTTTAACCTTTTTATAGGATTTTTAGCTAAATCAGTAGTAGAGATAAATAAAGAAATTATGGATTCGATTCTCTGACATATGAAAAATATAATCAGTGATGAAAATGGGAAACTTCATGAATATCTTTGGAATTAGTGGGTATATTTAATGCATAAGCTAGAGAAGAAGCCCTGAACTATCTTAATACTAAAATTTACATTACAACAGTGTGGAAAAAATATCATCACTGATTTTATCGATGATAAAGTTTTAGGGCAACATCTTCATATCGCAATATCAGATTTGAAAAAAATTCTTGGACGCTTTAATAGTGCTATTACCGCTCAAAAACTTATCGCTATGAATAAAACTAAAATGTCTAGTGGAAAATGGCATAGATTTAATAGACATCTCAAATTCCTTATAACAAAAGGGAAAGTAACTATAGAACGTAAAGGCCTCAAAAATATACGAATAAATAATTATGCTAGGTATATGATTACAAGCAATCAGGATGCCTTACTCAAAATAGATATAGGAGATTCTCGTATAGTCTGTTTTGATATTTCAGTATGCTGTAAAGATAATACAGTATATTTTAATTAGTTAAGAAGAGTCTTAGACTATTTTGATGCATTAGGAGTAGTTTTGATATATTTTCTTAATCATAATACAGTCACACCTCAATATAATGAAGTTGCCGATCCAGCTGATCAGGACTTCATTATAAGAATCTTCGTTATAGCGTTAACGAATTATTCGTTATAGTA